CGCTTGAACTGCATGACGAAGTGGAGGATGCATACTGGGAAGACGAAGATGAGGAGGAGGACGAGACGCGCTTCGTCAATTTCTCGCTCCTCTCGCACATTGCCGTGCAGCTGCGCGACAAGGTCCCCCGCGGTACCCACGTCAAGGGCAGTATACCATATCCGCGCGCGTTTACAGGCAAGGATATTGTGAGCACGATCCAGGCGCAGATACAACGCGAGCTCGCTGTCAATCATGGCATCTCGACGAGCGACCGACGCGCTGCCCTGCAGGTCGCACGCAGTCTCCAGAGCCAGCTCTTCTTCTACGAGGTGGAGTGGGGCGGCCGCGTGCTTCAGGACGGGGTCGAGGACGTCTACATGTTCCTCGACGACCAGGAGGGCACGTCTGACGCCGCACCTGAGCGCGAGGAGCTTCCGACTGGGGTGGTCACCATGTTGACCAAGTGCTATTCACCAAGTTGTGGCGATGAGTCTCCGTGCTACTCATACGGCTGTCCTCGGAGGGTGCGTTTCCTTGCTTTCCTTTTTATTTGACTGCTCATACTCAATAGGGCAACTCGTTTGCCGCTCAAGCGCCAGGACCGGCGGAAAGCCCTGCGCTGCCGTTGCGCGAGGAATGGTCGCACACGGTTCCAAAGGAGGTGCTGACGCAACTCCCTGAGAGCGAGATCAACCGCCAGACGTGCGTTGTTTTGTTTCATGTCTTCCTACAGTATTCCTGACATTTTTTCCACAGGATCATCCACAAGCTCATCAACAAGGAGGATCAGTACGTGCAGGACCTCGACATTGTGGAAACAGTCTTCCTCAAGCCCTTGCGGACGGCGATCCCGCCCGTCATCCCGCTCGAGCGGCTGGAGGACTTTATCGACGAGGTGTTCGGCAACATATTGGATCTGAGGGAATGCAACCGGCGGCTGCTCGAGGTCATGTACGTCCGACAGCGAGAGCAGGCGCCTGTCATACAACGGATTGGTCGGTCTTTATTTCCGGTCACAAGATGATAATAACGTCGGTGTGTAGGCGATGTGTTCCTCGCAGCTGCGACGGAATTCCGACTAGCGTACCCCATCTATATCGGCCACCACCCGTTGGCGGAGAAGCGCATGAAGGAAGAAATCGACTCGAACCCCGAGTTCCGGTTGTTCCTTGAGCACTGCTCACGGCAGTCATCCCGCGCGGGGTCGGACACCATGCGGCTCGACCTCAAACACTTTTTGAATCGGCCGGCGGAGCATCTGCAGAAGTACCCGGTGCTACTCGAGGCCATCTACCACGAGACGGCAGAGGGGAACCCGGATGCGGATTACCTGATGGAGGCCGTCGGCGCGATCCGCAACCTGCAGAGTGTGGCGCAGCTGAGGACGTTCCAGTCTGCCATGGGACGCGGCGCACCGGGCAAGTGGGAGTGGCATGACCTAGTCGCGCCAGAAGTTCGGAAGGCGATGCCGAAGGAGGAGCAGAAGCGCCAATCGTGAGTTGCAACCTAAAAGACAGTCATCCCGATATCTGGCTGACTGCATTCTGCAGGATCATATTTGAATTGATCAAGGGCGAGATGGCGTATGTCAAGGATCTGGAGAACATAGAAAATGTATGCGGAAACCGTTATCTATCGCAATCTGCTCACTGGGCGTTTAGATGTACATCCTCCCTCTACGGGCAGCCAGACCGCCCATTATGCAGCCCGAGCGGCTAGAACAGTTCATCCAGGATGTGTTTCATAATTTCTCGGACCTGCATGCGCATCACCTCAAGCTGGTGGAGAAGTTCCATGAGATACAGCGCGAGCAGCACCCCCTCATCCGCAGCGTCACCGCGGCAATGTTTGACGCGGCACTGAACTTTCGCGACGTGTACATGGAGTACATCCCCAACTACCCAATTGCTGCGTACCGGATCGACGACGAGATGGCGAACAACCTCGATTTCAAGAACTTTGTGGAGGTATGTGGCGGTTTCTGTTGAGGAGGTTGAAATGCTAAGGATGTGTAGCAATGTGTGCGGCATGCGGACGCCCACCGGCTCGACATGAAGAACTTTATCAATCGGCCAATCCCGCGGCTGCTTCGATACGAGCTGCTTCTCAAGGGTATTCTAGACGAGACGCCGCAGAACCACGATGATCGCAAGGAGATCCCGCAGGTGCTCGAGGTGATCAAGGCGCTAGGCAAGGACACGGAGCCTGGTGTCGTTTCGGCGAAGCAAAAGGTTGAGCTATGGCGATACAATTCCAATCTTGTCTTCAAACAAGGAGAGGCGATTGTGGGTAATTTCTTGTTTTCAAGTGATCGTGCTCAGACCCTACAGGACATGGACCTGCTCGACGAGAACCGCTCCTTGATTTACGCAGCCAAGGTCATTCGTCAACCTGATAATTCTATCCCGTCACTGGAATGGAGCGGATGGAGTGAGCTGTTCGTGGTGTTGTTCGACAATTATGGTAGGCACCGTTTTTCTGCATCGGCAACTCGGCTCACCTGGCCATCAGTTGTGATGACAAAGCCGAAGGAGAAGGATGGGGTTACCAAATACCAAGTCAATCGACGGGTGAATTGTTTCTTACACGGTGCTTGACGTGCATACTCATCCTCGTCCAGCCAATACCTTTAGATCTACTAACACTCGTCAACTTCACTGATCCCCCAACACAACGTGGCGCGGGTTTACTTCGCAATCTGCGTGGAGACAATCTGCGGGGAGAACGCCACGATACCAATGGCACAGTCACAGCGACACCCGAGAGTGCTGGTGACTCGCGTGTCGTATATCCCTGGACGATCCACCACAATGGTCGTCTGGGTGGACCGCACATACTTTTCTCGGAGTCGGCGCAGGCGCGCACGGAATGGAAGCAGAAATTGGAAGAGGCTTTGGGGATTCGCAAGGTCGTTCAGGAGTCGAACAAGGTGTTCGAGGTTGAAACGCTCAGCGCGGACACGTTCTTGGTGCCTTCAGTACAAATTGGCCCCGCTTCGCCGCAATGGAATCAGGACACCTCGTTCACGGGCAAGGTCACTTGCTCCGTTCCATTCAGTAAGTTTTGTGATGTTTTGCCTGATGAATACTCACAGCTCGTGAAGATACCGCTGATGGACGCGGGTTGGTCGCCATTGGGTGCGCGGAAGGTGTTTGGATCGGCTTCCGCCACGATCCGAGGTGTAAGTGATGCAGTTCCACGTTTGGTCCTATTATAAACATACTCCAGCGATGCGCCGTGTTCTGCATCTCAAAATGGTGACGCAGTGTGCGATGCTCGACGAGTTTGGCATCTTTCTTGTTCTGGCGGACAAGGTGCGTCTGCATACACGTTCCGGAAGTTTCCTGACTCGGGTGCAGTCCTTGTTCGCATACCACATCGAGGCATTGGTTCCGTCTTCGCCACAGGGTACCCACGCCTCGCAAGTACCCCAGAAACTGAATGGGACCAAGGACGTACACTTTTTCAGCGTTGGGACCCTTCACAACCGGACGCTTGTCATTTATATGAAGAAGAAAGGGGTGCGTACACTCTTCTACTTTGTCGACGTCTACTCAATTTTCCACAGCTGGACAGTATTTTCCGTGTTCTGGAGCCCGTGGGAGATAAAATCAACGAGAAGGTCAAGGCTCCAGCGGGCCTGGGCTCGCGTCTCGGTTTCCGATCTACCAAATCGGAATGGTTCCGAATTTACAGAGTGCGTTTAATCTTTGGAATTAATGAACATTAATAACCCTTCGGTGTAGGATTTCTTCCTGCCATCTGAATCGTTTGATCTCTATTTCCTCAAGGCAAAGATCGTCATCCTTTGCACCAAAGGCTTTGAGATCATGGATCTGAATGAGTACGTGAAGGTCTGGTATCCGTCCGTCATCTTCTGACACGCTCGCGCAGCTTCAAAAGTGTTACCATTCCTCTTCGAGACGATGCCAGGCTTGCGCCGTTATCCAAGCGGTGCGATGCATGCCGTCCCATTGGAATGTTCCGATCGAATGATGATGGTTTCCTTTTATGCTATAATGGTACGTTGTTTCGGGGAACAACCAGTCATCAGCGACTCAACCCCAATAGAATTTGGGGTCTACGTTGACCGACACGGAGATCCACGGCGCGGGGCGACTACCATCGAATGGGAGGGTAACGCTGAGAGGGTCGCCTTGCATTCGCCCTACATTCTCCTCTTCGACTCTCGCTTCATCGAGATCCGCAATATTGAGACTGGGCGTTTGGCACAAATCATTCCGGGCAATGACATCCGTTGCCTATGGGATGGACGGGGTGTTGGCTCAAGCATTGCGGCGACGCCAGGCCCCGCCGGGGAGCCCATTGTGCAGGAGGCACAAGTGCATGCTGTTATGAACGGCGTTGACCCAACGCAGCCCGGAAGCCGGCCTTCACGAGCTGTGGCGCAACACGTCTTTGAACTCATCCCCACCATCCCACTCTTCCTTCCGGAACCCGTACCGCCACTGCCCCAACAGTCACAGTATTTTGACTCCCGTCAAAACTCGACTTACTCCCCGCCCCAATCACCCCTCCGAGCCTCTGGATCTAGTTGGAGATGAGCATGTAATGTGATACTTGTATACTATACCTTATGCGCTTCGTAGTTCTTGTATATCGTATGGAAAATCAGCTGGAGGTTCTCAAGGGAACAGGGCAATTGCATTAGATGTTTGAATACTAGACATTTCATAGTACGAAGAGAAAGAATACATGCATCCCGAGTGGCCATGTTTCCGCACCTTGTTTGGCCAGGGTTTCTTCGGTTCCAACACTCTGCAAGCTGAGTGTTCCACTTCCAGGGCGATCAAAGTGCTTGTCGTTAGTCTTTCTGCAATTCTGAACGGATTTTGTGATTTCTACGCAAACGAAAACGTCTCTAGGGGAAGGCCTCTCCTTCGTTCTATGTAGAATCAATAGAAAGCCTTTCAACCAACTTTCAACCCTACAAAAAAGGCACACATATAAGTGCCACCGAAACGCTTGAACTCTCAAACCGCAACAAAACAAACGAACTGCCCCCGAGAGGCTCGAACTCTCGATCTCACGATTGAACTGTTTCAGGAATGCTGCGTCGAATGACTAAGCATTTAATAACAGTCGTGCGCCTTAACCAACTGGGCCAGGGGGCAGATATTTGCTTATTACCTCAATATTCTCCCATAGCTGGGAGCTTTGATAATTGAGGGACTGCGATTGTCAGTTTGTCCAAAGTGCCTCCAAGCTGTCATTATCACCAGGAGAAAGAGCCATGTAGTGAGATAGATCGGGCGTTGGAGAACAATAAGGGGAGTTGCCTAGTGGGAGAAAAAAGGGTTGAAGCATGATTGAAAGGTTCGACGCGTTGTGATGAGCCTCGCTCCCTTGATTTGTTGAACCATCTCGAAGTCCCGCACGAAGATAAAGGCCATGGTCTGGTAATTCCACCGACGTGGGGCCAGTCGGTGATGATCCTCCCTTGTCGGCAGTCTCAGAATCGCCAGCCGGACCTGAGGATCTGGTTCAGGTGCTACCCCGGGACCCGCCAAACGTAACAACAGGAAATGCAGAGACACAGTACAACCGCGCCAAATGCGACCCCGATGATTGGCCCTAGAGCAGACGTTCGTTTGGTCATCTATGCGGGCAACGGGAGAGCGATGGAAAGTCCGAGGAAGGAACGCATGAGGAACGCATGTGAGAGGAAAAATCGGAGTTGAATCATTTTTCCGGGGCGAGAGAGCAAGGTGTATTTTTATATCACTATCCCAGAGAGCTGTGAAAAGAGAAAATCATTGACATTCATACTGTACTTGCAGATTTCTGATTGTCAATTAATGCTATGTATCTTCATTGCAGGATGTCGGTTGTAAGGAAGACTCCCTATTTAGCATGACGTTGTCAGATAAATGGACGAGATCTTCCGTGCTCTTCCGTGGCCGGTCACAGTCGCTGCATTTGGAGATGGTGGAAGCGGTGGAAGGGGTTGTGACTTGTACACGTTGGGGGAAGCGAGGGCTTGGGAGAGGATGTTGTGGGGTGATGGAAGCGTAGCGAGAATTTTGCGTTCTCCAGCCATGTCCAAGGCGCTCTCCTTGCTACGACGCTCCTATTCGACTCTGTCCCGAGATACACAAGCCCTCGATGACTGGATTGCTTCTCCAAAGCAGCTGGTGCTCCAGGACACGTTCAGCGTGGAGCGTCTCTCAGACCTTTTTATCACTCTGCCAACACGAGACGGAGGGAGACGCCCGTTTCATGAACCAAAATTCGCGGACCCGCTTGGACATGGATCACATCTAGCTTTCTTTCACCCCAGAAACCCTGAGCACAAGTTACGTTTCGACGGAACAGACGCTGACTTTTGCCCGCCCAGGCCGTTCACACGGCGGATGTGGGCCGGCGGGCGCATGTATTGGGATGCGCAGAATCCGCTCCTCGTCGGGCAAAGCGCTGTCTCGACGTCTACTGTCGCCTCCATCGAAAAGAAAGGGTTCGAGAAGGGCAGCCCAATGATTCTTGTAACTCAGAATATCAAAGTCACCCTGGCAGGCAAACCCCAGCCTTCCGTTGTGGAAGAAAGGTCCCACGTCTATCTCGCGGACTCCATCCCTGTTAATAAAGTTCCTCGAGACGGCGAGCCTCTGTCTATTAGTTCGTCCCCATAAATGGGCCTGACGCTCTCTCTCAGTCAAGGGCATACCCCCCACCGCTGATTACTCGTTTACCTTCACTCCGTCTCTGACCACTCTCTTTCGTTTCTCTGCACTCACCTTCAACGGTCACTATATTCATCTCGACAAAGATTATGCCCAGCTGACAGAGGGTTACCCCGGCAAGTGCCCATCGCTCCCACAGACTCGAAATCTAAATCGACTCAGAGCGACTTGTGCATGGGCCGCTCACCGCGCTTATGCTTCTCGAAGTCACCATGCTCGACAACCCCAAGGCGAAGATCTCTCACTTTGAATACAGGGCGAGAAACCCCATTATTGTCAACCAGCCGATGACCATCGCTGGGGTTCGGAACGACGAGCACAACGCCACCGTGTGGTGTTCCAATAACGAAGGAGTTGTGGGTATGACCGGGTCCATCCAGCTTGCGACCAAGAATGTATAAAAGACTTCTAAACGTGGAGATAACTGTACAATGTTCGGGCGCTCCGTCGGGTTCCATTGCGGTGATATATATGAAAAAACGACAGGACAGTAATAACTATCGGAAGTGTTCCAAGGTATAAGCGGCGGCCATCTATTGTCATTACACCTGGCCGGTATCTAGGATGCGGGTATGTATGCTACAGCGTGTTTGTCAGATTCAAAGCGCAAAGGAAAGGATCATAAGTTCAAAGCGCAAAAGAAGGATATATCCGAGTCAGGCCTCGACTGCGGAGCGGTTCCATGCATACCGGGCACTTGCTGCGAGTCACAAGAGCATCGGTGATACATCTATGCATTTATCAGGACGCGTAAATGAGGATAGCTCGTGAGTTACGCACGACTTGCAGAAGACATGACCGCAGGACGTGGAGGTTATGTCTTTGGGGAAGTGCCTGCACATTGGGCACATGAAGCCGGAGGGCTCCTCGCCTTTGTACTTGGGCTCCCAATTCTGAATTTCCTCAATCTGTTTCGCTGGCCACCCGGAATAGACGCGGCCCGAGTCAGCAACATCACCCGAGGTCAAGAGGGTGTGTTCGCAAAGCATACTGCTGTCCTCCATCGAGGCGCCGGATAAAAGTCGAGAACCGGAGCGCATGGCACAACTAGAAAAGGACATATGTGAGCAAATACGGTAAGGTGTTGTTATCCAAACGACTCGCCCGTTCCCAATTTTCAAACTGTTGAGCGCAAAGTTGCCGCGAGAATTGATGTGGGCGACAACGGAGCAGTCGTCCAGAGAAACGTTGTCTCCGAGCTGTAGTGCATGAGGAAACAGGAAGGAGATATCGAATATAAAGCTCACATGAACCAAGTCGGGTTCGGTCATGAGACCAGCCTTGCCGCCAGCATATATCGCACAGTTTTTGCCGATCGTTGCGCCAAGGGCACGTAGATACCAAACGAAATATACCGAGCCCGTGAGCGGCGCAAGGACGCCTCCATTGCCATAGCCCTTATAAATGAACCGAGATAGGACAAGATGTAGTTGCCAGCGCTGACAATAGCTGCTCTTGTCCCATGCATAACGACCATCTCGTCGGCGGCCAATGACAACCCATTTCGTGACGATCACCCACGCAAGAGCGAGGAGAGCTTGGACGTTCAAAACAATGACAAAAGACAGGGCGATGAAGCCGAAGATAACACCGGGACGATACCAGACAGGGCGGTAAATGTGAACCATGTGGCCGCGATGAAGATGCAGTTGGCGAAGCAGCTGTGCCGCCGCAACTGCACTGATCGACCAGTAAGCAGCAGAGAGCGTGGCGACGATGATGTTGACGGCGAGGATTAGGGCATACGGGAAGACGAAATAGTCCGCTTGGCCTTTATAAAAGGCGCGTCCAAAGGGGGTCGTAGTGTCGGGATCGGCAGCTTTGGAAGGCGACCCTTCGTCGAGGCATTCTAAAAAAAAGAAGGTGAATATTTGCTTCCGAACAGTATGAGTCATAGCGCTTACCTGACCCCAGCCACGTGGAACCATCCTTGTATTCTGTGTCGCGCAAACCAAGGGCACCAGAGCCCATCACCGTCCGCCTTCCAATCTTGCAGCCAGGAAGGAGAACAACGCGGTCCGCAATCATCGCTGCAATGAATTAGTCCACACATTTCCCTAGCACATTGAGGTAACTCACCGCCATCGGCGACAGTAACTCGTCCAGTCCCGATACGATCAGTGGTAAAAACCTCACTGCGAGAGCCAAACACGACATCGTTGCCGATTTCCAACAGCTCGGGGTCAAGACAATAGATTCCAGAACCAGGCCAGTACACCTGAATGGCAACGCTCAGAATGGATGAGTCGGTGTGGCGCAAAAACTCACCCGCTTGCCGATTTTCGCACCCATACAACGATAAACAACCTGAGACGCGTTTAAATCTACCGAAATGACGAGGATATAATGCTCACCGAAACCACTTCGTAATGCGTGCCAAGGATCGAAAAGGCAGATTTCATGGCAGTCTTGGACAATAGATGCGAATTGATGTATCTCCGAAGCAGCGATAACTGAGAAGCGTCGGCGAGGGGTCCCTCCTTGTTCAAGCCAAATGTGCGTTTTACGACTATCCCAAGAACGAGCTGAATGATCGGTGTTAACACAGCGCGCACCACACGCGAAAGGGCATGGTAAGCGACTCTCTCTGGCGAGGAAAACCAGTAAACGACCGATTCTAGTGAATTGAGCTGCTCGGTTGTAATGGTGACTTCATTGACCATGAGCCAGATGGCGATGAACCACGGAATATCTGAGAAATTCTTAGAAGGAAAACACCTGACGGGAAGAAAAGCGTACAGGAAATGAAATACACCAGGAACATCACCGGCCATGCCACGAGAAGCTTAAGCCAGAAGCTCGGCTCAGGAAGCAGTGTCCGGTTGAAGGCGGCGTACGATCGTGGGGACGGTGAGTCGCGCGACGACGCGTGAGGACCATATACCGTGTTGTTGCCAATGACAGCGCCTGGAGAAATCTGCGTGAAGGTGTTGACGATAGCCTTTTCTCCAATGACGATGTTATCCAGCCTAAAATAGCCCTCTCTCTCGACGCAAAATCCACGAATAAGGGCCGTATCGACACGGCAATCATCATGGAAGGTGAGCAGATCGTATTCGCCGAGTTTTGCGCCCTTGTCAATGGAAACGTTCCGACCAATACGAGCCCCGAGGAGTCGGTAATACAATACCTCCAGGGTGGGGTGCATGGAGAAGACACCGCGGCCCGCGATCCGGATGCTCTGGTTGACGATCCACCAGCGCAGGTAGTAGTTGGACCACATGCGATATGTACCGGGGCGGTACCTTCCAATAATGAGCCATTTGAAGAGGATCGACGTGATTGGGGCGACGATACGAGCTGAAAAACGGTTAATCACGTGATGATGCCAAATTTGACCAGACCTACTAGTGAGGCGGGCGACGACAATCGCGACGAGGAGGGAGAAGATTCGGTCCCAAAAAGAGCGCTGCATGATAGATGCCATGACGGAA